AAGAGGAGGTGAGAATTCAGGGACTTGAGGGAAAAGCATACAACACAGTTGATGTCATGTTGTATTTGGCAGAAAATGTAAAGAATCAAAAGTTCAACAAAGTCGTGTTCTACATATACAGCTTCAAACGAACGAATAGTTGTCAAAAAGAATATATATCTTGACCTCACTCAAATGTTGGAGTTTGAATAACTTTCAGCATTCAAACAAGATCTCGTTTTGATATAATCAAGCACTAATACTCCCCTTTCGGACAATCTCTTGATCACCCTCAATCTGAGCACCGAGCAAAGCACTTTCCTCGTCTGCCTCCTTCGTCTTTGATGCTGGCTTCTGATGAGGCTTCTGTAATGCTGACCACAATGTACTTGCAATGACGATAGATCCACCCACCAAGCTCCAACCACTGGGAAGCACTCCCCAAATCGCCCAATCGAAAGTCAAGGCAAAAAGAACCTGGGTATACAACATACTCGTCGCTTTGCTGCTCCTGTCAAGCTGCAATCCAGCGGTCAACAGGAATTGGAGGCCAAATCCGAGGACCCCAAGAAGGAGGAGAAGAACCCACTCTCTTGGACCTTCAGGCATCGTGAAGCTCATGCCAGGCAGAACGAGAAGTGCCACCGCGGAGCTGACCGTGCCTAGAGCAGCAAAATAGTTGACAGAAAGTAGAGCGTGGGCTCTGTTGCCGACAACTCTAATCATGGTATATGCACCTGCTGCACCAGCAACACCAATGATCGAAACAATGATGGCCAGGATACGTTGAGCAGGAGTCACCTCGTCAGCTTCCGCTCCAGTAGCATTGATGACATCGTCTTCTGAGCCGAAGATGCTGCTTGGATGGGCGATGATGATCACACCGACCAAGGCAACAAGACCTGCGATGAGCTCTTTCCGCGTGAAGATCTCTCCAAGGAAGACTGAGCATAACCATGCCGTGACTATGGGTACGAGAAATCTGAACACAGTGGCTTCGGCGAGTGGGAGGTAATGTACCGAATCTGCTGGAAGTCAGTTCCAACGGCTTGCCACAGACTCAAGAGTCTTACAATACAAGCAAAACAGCCCAGCGAAGCCAAAGACAGCTCTGAGAAGCAGCCATGGTCGAACACTTCTATCTCCCAATAGGAAATTTGGTACTTTCGTCCACCACATGTAGAAAGTGCTCAAAATAAGTGTCGTGATCATGCGGGCAAAGATGACCTAAGATTGGTGAGCAAATTTTCATGTGAGGTTGATTTGGATAGACAAACCTGGAAAGGATGCATGCCATGCTTTCCTTGCTGCAGGTACCTCACTATGGCATCTGTGGACGAACCAAAACACTCCGCAAATAGGATGAGTGCCGCTCCCTTGTTGTTCTGCCATGCTGATCTCCAAGCACTCTGACATTTGATGGGGTCGTATGTCTCTTCCTCCTGATTGCTAACATTTGGAGAAGCCATCGTCACTCTCGAGAAAAGCAGATCTCGGAATACGCAATTAAGAAAGTGAGAAAGTATATTACAAATAGGAAAACGGTGAGTTGATGGAGGGGTTAAATATGAATGTTTTTTTTGCCCCACCTTTGTGATCCTGCTGACCGATGAGTGAGACCTCGGGGGTGTATCGGCGCATTAGCTCGAGGCATTTTTTTCTGCTGCTCTCTTAATCAATATATTCAGAAGTGTTTGTAAGCGCCTGCATCAGTTCGAAAGTATTATCGGTATCGTGAATTTATATTCCTGTCCTAGGGCGCGGGTATATGTGATTGAAGGGAGGCGAAGCTTTTTGCAAAATGTTTGACACTGAGCATGATATTTAGCGCGCCACCTTTTTGGGGTTTTCTGGCGAGCCTTCCGGCTTCGGCCGCTGAGTTTTAAGCGGTTGGGCAAAGGTCCAGGCGACCCCACTCCAGGGCTTTTCAGTGGAAATGCGGGGTTCCCTCCAGGCTTTCTCGCCTAAGATACAGCGCCGAGGCCCCCTTCAAGGGCGGACATACACTAAATTATAGGGAGTCAACACCAAACTTTCAGGCTCTCTACGTCTGAAGATCATTGCTCATGACTTCTTCACATGACTAGCCAACCCCACAATGCAAGTACATGTCTGCAACACATCCATTGTTCCAAACTCTCATCCCTACGTCGATCAACAAGCCAACTCATCTTCAATAGTGAGAGAGAACCAGAATTGAGTATGCTCTCCTTCTTCGCACGTGATGTTGACCGGAACGGCACGGATATGAACGGCCCGCGGCAATCGTGAACGCCTCAACATTTTCCAATTCACGAATTCGACAATTACATCTTGAGAGCCCCATTGTTCAGGAGCATAAGGTGCACCATTCAAAGACATGACCAACGATCCTTCCGAGTCCAATGGGTTGGCGAAACTCCCAAAGCCAATGCTATGGAGACATTCTAATCCTGACTCGACTCGCATGGCCGGGTTCATGCACCGGGTGAATCAGAAGTACAGCCTCAAGTTGAAGACCTACGAAGACCTCTACCAATGGTCGATTGACCATATCGGCGAGTTCTGGGGAGAGGTATGGGACAATTGCGGTGTTGTTGCTGAGAAGAAGTTCCTCCAGGTGAGTAGGGGTGTGCTTCATGTTCTGTGTTACGTTGCTATTTCACATCTTCTTATTTTTGATGGAGCAGAAGAACTGACCATTTGGAAGGTCCTACCCAAAGATGCTCGGATGTTTCCCAGACCAGACTTCTTCGCAGCCTCGAGATTGAATTTCGCTGAGAACCTTCTGTACCCCGCCAACGTCAAAATTGACCCCGCATCCCCCGCCATCATCGAAGCTACCGAGATTGGGAACTCGACAATCAACTGGAGCGAACTTCGAGAGCGAGTCCGAAAACTTGCTGTTGCTTTTCGCTCTCATGGTGTCCGAGAATCAGATCGTGTTGCCGGCTTCCTTGGAAATCATGCCAATGCTGTTGTGGCGATGTTGGCAACTGCCTCTATTGGAGCCATCTGGACCGGCGTGAGTCCTGATACAGGTGTCACGGCTGTGCTGGAGCGGTTGATTCAAATCGGACCCAAGGTTCTGCTTGTGGACAATGCTGTGAGGTACAACGGAAAAGCCCACGGGAGTTATCAGAAGGTGAAGGAGATTGTGGAAGGTTTGAAAGGACTGCAAGCCTGCGTTATGTTTGAGACGGTGAAAGGATTCGAGATGAAGATTGAAGGGTTGATTCCAGATGCTGGGAGAGCATGGACATATGATGAGTTCGTCGACAGGTCAGTCGTTATCTTCCCTGCGAGATGCTATACCGGAACTCGTCTCCTAACAATTGCAGTGTCAACAACCAAAAAACACCTCTCGACTTCACTCAATTACCTCCATCCCACCCACTTTACATCCTGTACTCCAGTGGTACGACAGGTGCCCCAAAATGCATCGTGCATTCTGCCGCTGGTACACTGCTCCAACACAAGAAGGAACACATTCTTCACTGCGATATTCAACCCGGTGACAGAATGCTCTACTTTACCACTACAACTTGGATGATGTGGCACTGGCTCGTTTCAGCTCTTGCTTCCGGCGCAACAATTATTCTCTACGATGGCTCACCCTTTCATCCACATGGCGATCTCTCCATGCCTCTTCTCATCCAGGCCCTGAATATTACCCACTTCGGTACCAGCGCCAAGTACCTCTCTATCCTTGAACAGAAGAGTTTGAAGCCGATGAAAGGACCTCACAACATCGACCTCAGTTCTTTGAAAGCAATTTACTCAACAGGATCGCCGCTCGCTCCTTCCACATTCAACTACGTCTACAATGCCTTTCCTCCAACGATAAACCTCGGCTCAATCACTGGTGGCACGGACATCATCTCTCTCTTTGGAGCACCCTGTCCGTTACTTCCAGTCTATGCTGGCGAGATCCAATGCAAAGGTCTCGGTATGGCCATCGAGGCATGGAGTCCAGATGGAACAGCTGTTCCCGATGGTGAAGAAGGAGATCTTGTCTGCGCAAAACCATTTCCTTGCCAGCCTGTCACATTCTGGAGCTCAGAGTCGAATGAAAAGGGCCAAGGAAAATATCGAGAAGCTTACTTTGAGATGTTCCCAGGTGTGTGGCATCATGGAGACTTTGTACGGTTTGAGAAAGGCACCGGTGGACTGACAATGCTGGGAAGGAGCGACGGGATCTTGAAGCCTAGTGGGGTGAGATTTGGCAGTGCGGAGATTTACAACATCCTTCTCAAGCATTTCCCAGATGATGTTGAGGACGCGATCTGTGTTGGACGAAGGAGAGAAACTGATGCTGATGAGACTGTGGTCCTGTTTCTCAAGATGGCGCAAGGTAAAACCTGCAATTATCGGCTGGAAGATGGTATCAAGTCGATGGTCAGGAAGGAGCTCTCAGCCAGGCACGTACCTGGGGTGATTGATGAGTGCTTCGAGATTCCGATCACAGGAAATGGAAAGAAGTGAGTTCATCTTGTATGCAAATAGAGGAGCATTGATTACTGACCTGGCTGTTAGGGTTGAGATTGCGGTGAAGCAGATTCTGTGCGGTATGAACATCAAAGTCGGAGCCAGTGTGGCGAACAAGGAGTGCTTGGATTGGTACCGTGAGTGGGCAGCAAGTCATTGAAAATTTGACACGGGACTCTCAAGATGACGAGAAGTCTTCAACATCTTCAAATTTATGGCTGCTAAGGTAGATAAAAGTGCTGCGCAAAGTATAGATATCCAGACAAGGTCTTCACGGGAATTGCCTCGTGGGAAAGACACATCAAAATAGATTTCTTCACACTTCCACCATTGTTGCGTCTTTCGAACTGCATGGTACATGATCTCCTGAAACGTGGCATAGCGCTCTCACGTTCTATGACACAATAAGTGTCCCACAAAAGGCAAGTTCTTCGGAATTGTGACTCACAGAGGCCTCTCGACTTGATCTCGAGTCGAGGAAGGTTGCGTCAAAATCCCACAAGAATATCTATATAGATTTGGATAAGCAAAGATTTAGCATATACCAGAGATCAAGCATGGTATCTCAGCAGGAAGAGCGATGGGCTCATAACCCATAGGTCCCCGGATCGAGACCAGGTCGTGCTAAGAAATTGGTTTCCCTTTTTTTCCCCCAGCCTTTTTACAATTTCTCTCACATTCCATGCACCATAGAAACTTTTGCTTTCTTCGCCTTAACCAAGCCACTCCTCATCTCGCTATCTAACCGTGCCCACTCCAATGCAATTGATTTGGTAATGTTAACAACCCATTTCATGCGCATCACATAGCACAGCTTTTAGGCCAATCCAACCATCCTCTCCATTCAACAGGAAGCTGCTCTTCAATCGCAGAGACAAGTTGAACATCACGTCCGTGTAGCCACCACAAGTCTAACGTAATTCGCATGTCAGCACATACAATGCCGAATAATTTCCAGGCGTTTGATAGATGGCAACTCACCATTTCGGTATCTGAGTGTAGTCGCATAGTGAGCCAGAATGATCAAAGCCTCCGGTGTCCTTTCCCGCAGACATTCACTAAAGCCCTGAGACACCTTTACAATCCAGCCCATTATGATTCCCACATCAGGTAGGTCTTTCCCTGCTGGACTCGATCGCAGATGAAGCATCACCGCCTCCAATTCGCAGATAGCTTCTGTGTAAGCAAGTGCCGCCTCTTTCGTTCGCCTTTCCGTGACCTGTGAGAAATCCTCTCGCAATCTCTGCAGCTGTGGTATTGCTCCTGTAGAAACTTGTTCAATTCCTTTGACTTGCACGAGATTTCCAAGTATGCCGTTCCAAATACTCTCTCGGAAAGGCTCGAGAACAACCTTGACACCTCGCACTAGAAATAGCCAGTCAAAGATGCTGCTAGAGGAAACGGTGTTGCCACTTCCAAGTCCATCGATTCTGGAAAGGACAAGAGCATTTGGCACCAGTAGACTACTGAACAGGAACGCAGCTTCCACATTGGAATCGTTCACGTTATCAAGGATTGCATGGAATTCTTCCAACGCCTTATCATGATGTTCAGAAGCCCGATCGAGATACATTCGTTCTTGTTCGGGCTTCAGACTACTGAGATGGAGGGCGGAGAGAGATAGAAGCCCACGTAGCAGAAATAAATGGGACAATGCCACCTTAACGGCGTAGGTCTGCCAGATGTGACGGCCCTCGTCACTCCTGCCGAGAGAAAGGTATGTGACTGTACTGAAGTGGTGAAGAAGTTCAAGGTCAACCAGTTGGAGATTCAGGTGCGTGTCTCCATTTCCACCACCAGCTTCCGGGGTTGAGCTCATGTTATTGCTTGAGGTTGGTGATGGACCAAAAGGTGTAGATATTGACGCATAGTTGGACGTGATTGGAGGCAATAAAGGACGCGGGGGTGGAATAGGAGGAAGATGCGTCGAGGGGGCTGAATCCTCACGAAAACTGCAATTCAAAAGTCGATAAACGCAGTTCGAACAGCTGGGTTGTTTCTCGTCACACTGCACTGATGTTCAGTAATCTGGAATTTGCTGCAAGTGGGGAAGCTCGGGAGACTGCGGATATCTTGGAATGTATACCTTGATGTGTCTACTTCTGCATTGCCTGCACCCATTCCTTGACTTCCTATGCGGTCGCCTCGCGGACATAACGCCTCAACAAGGTAATTTGTTGAACTCTTGGTGTCCTGCAGGAGGAAAGAAAAATCTGGAGGTCAAATTCAATTGCCTAGAACCGGAAGATACCTTTAGCCTAAACGTGTTTAGGGAAAGGATATCCTACGAGAGGAATAAAGTTTCAAAGTGAGGTGTTTTTGCACGTGATGTATTAACTACATCCAGGTAGGAATCTCAAGCCTAAGAATCAAGGCAACACATCATCCGGGGAGGCGCAGGGGGTGTCTCCTCCTGCTAACTGTTTTTAGGAAGATATATCTTCTTAATTTGTAGGGCTTAGGTATAGGGTTAAAGGCAGTGTATGGGACTTGTCCCATCACAATTTTGAGCTAGCGGTTGGGGTACTAATTCTCTTTCACGTGATAACACTTTCTTATACCGACGAGAAGGTCAGGGCAAGAGCGGGAGTTGAAGATCAAGTGCGATCGCCTCCATGAAGATATCTTAACATCAAAAGGTAATCTTTGTCCGAAAAACTAACGGAGATTGCGGATGATGGTAGAATGTCATCTCTTAACCAAAGCCTCCGATGCCAATGTCCGCTTTCACTTCGTACATTCGTCAAGTGGTCACTAGTCTATAGAATACTCCCAAAGCAGAATGCCGATGCATATCGCACGCTTGAAATAATTCCAAATATTTATATGTGAACGTAGAACGCAAGAAACCAATGCGTTGCATCACTCAAAGTTTGATCTGGAACCTGGGATTCGTCCTGATTTGCTCCCCATACTTCCAGAAAAAGAACGGTACTGGCGACATCGCCAGAGCAATGAAAGCCAACAGCGAGTTTCCCCACCCCAAACCCAATTTCGAGTACATGGAAGGTCCTGCAAGAGGCAAGAGGGCACCGAGGAGGGATCGCAGTACCGTGATTGCAGCGATCGCTGATGCTGAGTATATCGTAAATGCATCTACAAGATACGTTGAGATTGGCATCTAGACCAGTCAGCGGGATTCACAAAGATGAAAGGCGTGTTTCTTGTGAAACATGTTGGAGTCTTGAGACTTACAAAAGTTGTGATGAGGCCAAAGCCAACGAGACCTGTTCCAATGATCGGAACGATCCAGAAGACGTGGTACTGAGCGGTCCAGCCGTAGATGAACAAGCCTATTGGGATGAACAATGCACCTGGAATCATGATCGGCAACCGCTGTTCTGGAGTCAACTCGCCCTTCTTTGCCTCAACTCTTTCCACTGTCTTCTTTGAGGCGATTCCAAAGAGTACAAGACCCGAGAGCATTCCAATACCGATTCCCAGGTAGGATAGACCGACAATGCTTGCGGAGAAGCCATAGCTTCCTTCAAAGACCCCGGTGATCGTGGTGAACAGGAGGTAGAGGTAACCGTAGACGATAGCCATGTACAAGGAGAACAAGATAACGATGGGCGAGAAGAGGAGCATTCTCAAGGGCAACGTTATCGACCTTTCAAAGAGACGCTTGGGAGTCATACCTCTGTCAAGCTTTGATCTCAGCATGTCATTTCCCGTCTCCTTCCTCAATCTTTTGCACTTGAGCTCCAGAATCCGAACGGAATATGTTTCTCTAAGGAGGAAGTACATGGCAATGGTCAATGCACCGGCCTGGATCATTGTTAGATTGAAAATGTTGGTTCCCAAGTTGGGCAGTTGCTGCACGGGAAACAGCCATCGAGGAAAGAAGACGTACAACTATGGCGATGACCCAGAAAACCCACCTCCAGCCTTTCGCTGCTGCTAGAAAGCCCCCAGCGACTGGTCCAATGACAGGTCCAAGAAGCGGTCCCAAAGCCCAAACTGACATCGCAGGGACTCTCTCCTTAGGGGTAAACATATCTCCAAACGTTCCGCCACCAATTGTGATAACGGTTGAGCCCGCAATCCCAGCGAGAAGTCGAAAGCCGATGAGCATGTTGAGACTTGAGCTGACAGCACAAGCGATGGTGAAGATGACGAAGAGCGTATTGGAGACGTGGTAGACTGGTGCTCGGCCGTACATTTCGGAGAAGGGCGCAATCACCAAAGGACCTGCGGCATAGCCAAGAATGTAGACTATGTGGAAGCAAATGTCAGTAGGCTGGAAGACACTTGAGGCTGCGCAAACTGACCTGAAACCACCAAAGACCCCAAGAGGTGGGATGAACTGTGGAACTCCTTCAGGACATCTCCAACTCCAGGCTTCAAGAAGTTAGTGCTCTGTTTTCTGCAGTAGGTAAGAGTCGAAGAGGATGAAACATCTCCGGGAGCTCCCAACGCAGCAAAATTCAAGAGGCGAGACAAAGAAAAGGCTTGATTACAGCGAACATGGAAGAGGCCAACGGTCTATTTGTGGTTTAGCAGGAGGTATAGTCGAGGGGAAATACTTGCGAATGAACACCCGCGTACTCACGTAACCAAAGTCATGATAGAGAGCAACACACCATTTACCCACTTCTTCTTTGGAGCCCAGTTGCGAGGATTTTCCGTGTCATCAACACCATCCCAGTCCACGATATTTGGATCATCTGAAGTTTCCTGCGAACGACCCTTCTCTGATGTCAACGCCGATTCCATGCCATCTGTGCTAATGTTGCTCTCCATGGTGGCAAGGTACGCAATCGACGGTGGAGCCGTTTGATCTCCTTCCTTCGCAGACATGTCGTGTTCCCGATACCGATTCCTGAAGACATAGAAATTTCAAGGTGGTACTGATGGTCTATATATTGATGGGAAAGTTATACATTATGCACGACTTGCACAAAATTCGATTATGGGATCTCTCAATCCGAAATGGTTGCGATGCTAGTGCCATTTGATACGATGGAGGCACCAATCGAATTTCGAGCTCAGCGTATTCGCTTGAAAGTCAACGCCAAACGCTCCCCACAATCAGATATGGTACGGTCTAGATCGACAATGCTACCACGCTTGATTCCATTAATATGCCATTCGAGATGAGAAGAAGACGAGACTGAAGTGCTTCCAGCTTTCCCAGACATGACCACTATGCCTACCAGCTACTACAGTACTGTCGGAGACAATGACACAAACCTAACATTGAAAAAGAAAAGAAGCAGAGATAAGACAGGAAATAGAGATTCTCGCAGCTGAAGAACCGCAGCAAAAACTAGACAAGGTCAAATACCAAGATATACGAGCAACTGAAAATCAATTCAAGCATATACCAGGTAGAAAATCACAACACTACGCGGGGCCAATTGCGAACATCAAAATCCTTCATTTGTATAGTGATGGAAGCTCGCCATGCAATCACTTCGTCTTCGGCACGATCTTCTCTTGTTCCAGCTCATCGAAAGTCGCCTCCATGGACTCCCAAGTATCAATGTACCCAGTCCATCCGAACTTCCTCGCCTTCGACATGCTGATGACAATATCATACTCGCGACCGAGCACAAATCCCAAGAATCCCCACGTAGCCTTCTCCAGCGCGTCTTCTTGAACGCCTTCCCTCTTCGCAATCTGCT